TTTGTAACTACTGTATAGTCCTGGATGTTGCTATGCAGTAGGTGGTGCCTGTATACACAAGGTGGTTGTGGACTTTTTTCTAAGATTCGTGCAAAATCACACACATCACCCAAGCTCACGTTTTTTGCCTTTAAAGGAAGGAGAAGGAGAGAATCCAGACATCTCTGATGCCATTTCAGAGAGAAAACAAAAACAGTTTTCTGAAAATGTCCAGTGTTGCTGCTTGGTATTTCCCTCAAGATTAATGAACTGCTAGTGTCCTGACTTGTCTCCAGGATCCTATTTATGCAGGAGGAATATTGCCTAATCTGGCTGGATCTCACGTGTGTAGTCACCTATCAGTTCTTATCAGAACTTTCACAACAGGACCTTCTTTAAACCCTTGACGCCCATGCCTCCCTGCCCTTTAAGGGGTTTGTGACCCCGGTAGGTGGGGCGGGATTTAGAGTTAGAGGGATTTAGAGCTGTGATTGGCTGTCACAGCAGTCACATGATTGGAAAGATCCCGATCGCAAGTAGTGATCGGTACCTTTCCATGAGACACCAGTAAATGTGTCGGCAGCATGCAGGGTGCACGCTCGCAGTACATGTATGCAAATATGATGCCGTTTCGACATCAAGGCCCAGCCGAGAGGCCACATATTTGTGTACTGTCTTCGTGAACCGGTAATTGTAATTTTTTTTCATTTGTGTTTTATTTATTTATAAAGGAAAAGGTAACATCCATTTGCTCTGCCTACCAGTAAGGAAGCATTAATGATAAGAGGACACCAGCACTGGTCACACATAGTATATAGTTTGATGTGTTATATTCATTCTGCCGTACGCAGGATCTTCTCTCTAACAGTCTATACTGGGCATAGTGCTTTGTAGTGATGAGCTGAATGTACTGGGGTTTGGTTCAGGGTATGTTTGGCAAACTTTACTGAAGTTCAGATGCTGAATCTGAACTCCAGTGAAATCAATGGGAGTCAAAATCTAGAAATCAGTTTTGGCCATTGTCTTGGCTAATAGGCAAGTGCCTGTCAAACAAATGGCATGGGAGGATAGGTACTGCCCTGGGGGACATGTCCCAATGCAATAATTCTTTTTTTAATTTGGTGGAAAGCAGTGATTTAATAATGCTTAAAATTAAACATTTAAAAATACACATTTCCTTTAAAAACCTGCTTAGGGATGCCCTGCACTTGCAAGTGAAACTGTAGGAGACAGATAAGTGCCTAAAGTGTTGCCTAAAGGCCAGAACCTTGTGATGTACTGTATGTGTAAGCTAGGAGACTGATGATCCGTTGTTTTGTAAACCCTTGTGAGGGAAACATATTGATTTGTTTTCTGAACTCTCTTTTCAAAAACTGGGCAAGAAAAGCCTTTGAAAAGAAGAAATAAGCAAGACTCTTTAGCTCTACCAATTGAATTCTCACATTGGTTATATCTATGTTATAATATGAACTATTTATCTGCCTGTTTTTTTTTGATGCACCATTCAGAAGAACAATCACCTATAAAGCTTGGGCCTGTACTAGAACATAAAGGTTGCCTTAGACATTGTTCTGTATTGAAAACTTCTGAAAATCACCTAGTCATTTAGTGAATGTCCCCCCATCCATTTCCCTCAATCAGAGGAATTTGCTGTAGGCTTATAAGAAGGGATTTGTATTGTTCAGTTCGGGTATCCCTGCAGCTCCCAGGAAAAATACTGAAGCCAGCCATAGATGATGAGATTTTCTTTCCTGCAACTAGGGGTCAATTCCCCCATCAATTCAGCTCCCTCCTGCAGAGCTATTGTGTTCTTCCAGCAGGAAGGCGCGGGGTTGGGAGCCCTCCCTGCCAGGAGAACATAGTGATTATTGCCAGCGGCTACAGCATGAAAAATCCAACAGGCTGGCTGTACCCAAGTAATATGACAATTGAATTGGGTACAATCAGCCTACCCACAGATGGTTCGAATCTCAGCTGGTCCCTGCTGAAACGGCCAGGATTCTAACCATCTATGGCCAGCTTAAGTGCTCATAACATCATATTATGTACATTTACTGCTCATTTTTATCTTGAGTGCTCCATTAACCTGCTATTGGTTTTTATGCAAGAAAAGCACAGTACTGTGAATAAATAGCGTCATTTACATATCATTCTTTAACTGGATAGAGTAAAAGTTAAATCATTGCTCAAATTACCCAAACCATATAATTTTAATTTGTACAGGCGACATCAATGCTTTATCTTCTGTCTATGCTACTTTGGATTCAGGCAGGCTTTTGTATACAGTTTACAGCCGTTGCCTGCATTTTCTATACACACAGGTCCTGATTTGTTTTCAGATGTTCTTACCGCTTTCCAAGAATCCTGGTTCTTAAAATGAACTAGCCAGAGTCTAAAGGCTAAAGCATTTAACTGTATGTTATTCTAGAGCGCACTGCTTCATAGAAACGGAATTAAACAAACTTTTCCAACTTCTGCTTCGTTCCTTTCCAATGACCATAAATCACAATAACAAATATTACTTACATAAAGATTAGAAGGGAATTTAGGAAGTTAAGCATAATAATTACATCTGCGCTACAGAAGTAATGTTAGCTTATGGTACTGTTTATCAAGATCCAGGCAAACCAAAAATCCCTATTTCACTGGTTTTCCTTATTAGGAAAGCCATCATTTTGCCAAGTTTACAGTTTAATTTAAACCAGAAGCTTGGTACTTTCTAGCACAAAGTATAATTACTTTATATAATGACAGAGTTTATCTAGGAAAATGTTCAGGAAAACAAATGTGCTTCCATGTATGTTCAATGCAGACTAGTCACAACAACTGGTAAGCAATAAACATTTGTTTGCACCTTAGTAGATTCTTATAAATAATTCATTCTTGTTTAAAATTGGCAAAATTGCCTTCCATGCAAATGATTCTACTAATTTTTGGTTCTTGTGTCTTGATGGTTGGATAAGAAGCAGCAATTTAGTTAAGAAAATTTTAGTTTTTTGGCCATTTTAAAAATTAAAGCAATAGTAAGACCAAAAACAAAAAAGCATGTTATTGCAGCTTACCAATACTTAGATATAATTGCTGAATTAATCTTTTTTTTTCTAGCATGTTTTTCCCTTTGTTTACCTGTTGACCCTGCCAGTAAGTCTGTGTTTTTTTTAACAGACCAAGCTGTCCAGCAAAAATGGCAGCTGGAGGGCTGAGACAAATCATTGCACTGGTCAGCTTTTATTTATTGAAATCCTTTATCTTAAAAAGAAAAACGGTTAAAATAGTTAATTCCTTAAGACAGAAAGAGATTGATTTACTAAAACTGGAGAGTGCAAAACCTTTTTTTTTTGGTCAACAAGCTTAAATTTGAAGCTGATTAACTACAATGCACAGCTGCACCAGATTTTGCACTCTCCAGTTTTAGTAAATCAACCCCATAGTGTGTTACTGGCTGGATCACCAAATGAAAATAAAGGCTAAAAAGCTTAAAAAAGGAAAATTGATGCAGAAACCACATTTAGGGATTGGTAAACTGCAATATGTTATTATTTTTATTTTTAATATTGCTTTAACTGTATAAAATTTCTCACCACGAATACAAAGGAGAGCTTGGGATTATAGCTCTCATAAAGCACATCTAGATATATTGGTGATTTTTTATGCAGATATCTCTAGTTGAATACATGTGCTCCAATTTGATTTGACTAAATATGAACAATTCACAGCACATGTTCCCAAAACTATATTATTTATTTTAGCTACAATAATTTCAAGTTTTGCCAATCAATGTAATATAATTCCAAAGTCTTTTTTTTACTTACTTTGTACTGCGAAATTCATTAGGGTGAGTGAATTTCTATGGGCTCGGTTCTTGCGGGGATTGTTAAACCCTGCATGAATGTTTTAACATTTTTAACCTTAAAATCACCTTCACCCCATTGAAATCTATGGGAGGCAAATCTTTATAATTATACTGTCTGTTTTCAAGTCTAATAGGATGGGAATTGTCAAAAAAGAGCACGGGGAGCTGGGCACTGCCTTGGGGGACGTGAAAACAAAAAATTAAAAGAAATAAAGAAAAAAAAAAAACATTCAGTGGCACTATGGAACACTACAATTTTCATGGACAGTATCATCAACACAGTATTTTGGGATTATATATTTTGAAGATGTAGCTGAATTTTTAACTTTTACTTCCAACTTGGTTTAAACACAGCAAGCAGTACCCCAATCTGAGTTCCAAAATAGGGAAAAAAGTTATTTAGATAGTTTTTGCTGTAACATGCAATTATTTATTCAGTTGAAATAGGGCTGAATTGAATGGTGAAAGGGGTTACGACAGATCTAAAAGTTATAATACATTTACTCTTAGAAAGAATAAAGCTAACACCATCAACTTCATACAAAGTGGCCACAACGGTTTGATAGTATAGTTGGTGTGCTTTTTTTTTTATCATAGTACCACACTGCATTTCTTAAAAGTTTAATAGCAGAGTGCACCAAAACACTTCAAAACCACAACCCCACATTTCCCAAACCCCCTCTCCTATCCCCATATCGGCATCTATTCCCAAAATCTTCAAATCAGAGACTTCAGGTATGTACTTTATAAAAGTAAGCTAGTATTAGGACAATATGCAAGCACTTGAGTAAGCAGCACATTGTAAATTCTCTGCATTGCGTACTTTTTATGTATCTGATGCCAACAGGACCATTGTGGTCTGCAGCATCTGCCTGCAAAGTATCAACAGTGGCAAAAGTACTAGCCATTTTGGTACTATATGCCCTGGGAAACACATGACTCTGCATCATAGAGCTCAGTAGGAGCAGCACCTCAATGAGGCTAGTTGGGGGAAAAGGCAATTACTCCTCCTCATCGAGGGGCATAGCAGCTGCTTTCCTTTATAGTACTGCTAATGCACTTTTCCTCCACCTCCTCAAGGGTAAATGTAAATCCTTTGCTTCAAAATTCCTCAAGATACACTGCATTTTGCTACCAAAACAACATTCAGTAAGGGTTTACATCTACATTAACCTCCCTGGAGGTATTCCCGAGTGTAGCTCGGGGTAAAGTTTCAGCACCACAAACGGTAACCCCGAGCTACACTCGGGAATACCCTGCAGAGTTGCTCCAGGATCTCTTCTGCACTTACCTTGTCCTTCTCTCCCGTGATGTCCCCCATGCATGTTATGATCCGCCAGGTGGTGCCTCTGGCTGCCCACTTGACAGACCTACCCAAAGTGTGGAGTCTAAGTCCCGGTCTGTGCTTTCATCAGGGCCCCTGATGGTGGGGATGGACTTGAAACAGACCAGGACCAGGTCACGACCTCTGAGCAGGCCCACCAGTGGCAGGGGGAACCTCCGGGGATGTATTGGTATCGGGAGAGCCAGATGTGAGGAGGACGGCAGGACCTAGCAGGATGGATCGCGAGCAGTGGTCCCGTGGGGTAGGCGAGGTACAGAATCGGCAGGCGGAGAATCGTCAGGTCACACGCAGGGTCAGCAGGATAAGTCAGTCCATAGATAGGTCAAACAAGCCGGGGGTCAGGATGGGAGAAGGCAGAGTAGTCAGGAACAATCCGGGTCAAACGCAGGAGAAGGCAGAGTAGTCAGGACAATCCGGGTCAAATACAGGAGAAGGCAGCGTAGTCAGGGTCAATCAGGATCAAAAACACAGGTACAGGACTCAGGAACTCAAATATAGACCTTGCGGCGATCAGTGACAGTGCAGGGCATCTTTAAATATCGTGCCCTGCACTGTCATTGGCCGCCCAGGACGTGCCCCCGGGCTGTCATTGGCCGCCCGAGGCGCGCCCCCGGCTCTCACTGCGCATGCGCGGCGTCCTGTCATCCGCGGCTCGCCGGGACCTGATGCTTGTGTCCCGGCATGAGCCGTCGCCAGCGCGCATGCGCTGGCCGACAGGACGCCGCGATCCCTGACAATGCAGCGTCCCCGGCCATCTCCTTCGGCCGATGCCCGCACCTGTCTTCCGGGTTCCGTTCACTGCGATGTCGGGACGTACGGGGGACGTAACTGGCTGGAAATTTAAAATTTTTAAAAAGTGACATTCACTAATACACTAAAATCACATAGTAAAACATTACTGTATCAAACCATTTCACATACATTTTGCCCCTAGTGCTTTGTCCTGTGCCCTGCCTGCATTTTTTTACTGTTCTTTCTCCCTGGAAACTGAGAAATGTCCATGGCGTCCAAAAAGCGTCGCTTTAGGTCACAAGCGGTTTTAGACAAGCTAGAGAACAGTGATAGTAAATTAGAACTACTTGCAGAATTGAGTGATAATGATTCGTGGGGAAATTCGTCATCAGACACTGAAAACAATTTTGCAACTTTGCTCAGTGATGTGCGAACTTGGCGCTCTATTTCAAATTTCAGTGTTTTTGGTTTGATTATATTATTGAAATAAATTTATTATTATTATATTATTATTTTTTTATGATTATTTATTAAATTATAATTTATGATTTTGTGTTTCAAATTTTACTAGACTCTTGTTTGGACAGATTTCAGTGAGTTATTCCTAAGAATTACAGGCCTACAATAAAAAAACTACACATTTCCATGCAAAAAATGTACCGCTTTGAGCACAGAAATACTGACATAATCAGACCACTAGGGAGGTTAAGAGACCAATGCCTACAGCATAAAACAGCAGCGCGTCCTAAGCTTTCCCTATCACAACTAAGCACATTGTCAATATGTGAAGGAGCTGGCACATAACAAAACCCCCCATCAATGGGCACCCTAAGCTCAGGTCATGCAGGAAGTGCATTATTGGTAGTTGCTTGCCATGATGGTGAGGGGGTGCATTTGTTGGCTGCTTCCCCTGAAATGCGAATGGGTTGGACTCAACTCAAACCCATGCTCAACCTGATCCCAAATCTCATCCCAAGTATTCATACACCTTGAGCTGATTGGATCAAACTGGGTAAGGTAAATGTATTGCTGACTTCCTAAAGGAGTGAGGGCTATAAAGCACTGGCATATGTAACCTTAAAAAAACTTAATTTTAACCACTTTCCCTTCAGGAGATTTACCACCCCTTCCTGACCAGGCCATTTTTTGCAATACGGTGCTGCATTATTTTAACTGACAATTGCAATGATGTACGTAAATGAAATTTATATCCTTTTTTGCCCACAAAGAGAGCTTTCTTTCAGTGGTATTTGATCAATTATGCATTTTTTTATTTTTTGTGCTATAAACAAAAAAAGACCGATAATTTTGTAAAAAACGAAACAGTATTTTTGGCTTTTTGATAATAAACATTCAGTAAAAATTTTTTAACAATCTAATTTCGTCATAAATTTAGGCCAAAATATATTCTGCTAAAAAAAAATTCCAATACATGTAAATTAATTGGTTTGTGTGAAAGTTATAGCCACTGACATCCCAATGACACTAATACAGAGATCAGTGCTAATAAAAAGCACACTGACACTGTGCTAATGACACTAAGCAGGAAGGGGTTAACATCTGGGGCGATCCAAGGGTTAACTAAGGAGACATGCTGCTTTGTATTTCTCTGATGTGCAGAGAAATACAAAGCAGCATGTCCTTGCTGACAGGAGAGAGATCTGTGTTGTTTACACACAGGTCTCTCCCTTGTCAGCTTTCCCTGACAATTGTTGGGAGCTGGCGGGGAATCTCTGGCCGGAACCTGATGATTGACATCCCCAGTCGCCAATGGCAGTGCAGGCAGGGCGGCACGCACACGAGCTCCCTACCCAGAAATGCAGGTCACATATATATACGTGATTTTGCACAGCCCTGCCACCCTGTAGCAGTAGTACTACTATAGGGCGGTAGGAAAGCAGTTAATTTTGATCACATGGTATCAGAAATTATATACAGAGACTTTAAAATCTTAGCATGGTAATGTGATTCTTAGGGCTCAGTCACACGTGCTTCAATACCACATGTTTAAGCAGCATATCGCTTTCATGAGGCTTCAATGCTTGTCATGGAAAAACAGAATGATTGGCCGCATAAACAGCAATGTGGTGGATGAAATCCTTTATTGGAATCCTGTACATGCAATATGATAAGAACATGATAGCTCCAACACAGGACAGAGGAGCAGTAGACGTGTTTCACACGAACACGTGCTTAGTCATTAAGAAGTATGCACGTAAAGGATTCCAATAAAGGATTTAATCCACCACATTGCTGTTTGTGAGGCCAACCATTCCGTTTTTCCATTGCATCTGTGATCATGGATCGGGCCAGCACCTGCGTGTCTGTGGAGGGGTTATACAGATTCAGCACTCGCCTGGAGCAGATCGTTTGCTCTTTGAATCAATGTTTGTCAGCCTCCTCCATTGATTTAAATGGTAATGCTCTGCAACGGCACCTCAACTTCACCTATAGCCTTTATGGTGTGTTAGTGAAGCATTTATAAAGTATTAGCTGGGCACGGGGGGAAAGACAGTGGAGGTTCCTGTATGGCAGAATGCACTGGGAAATAATAGAGAATTAGAACAGAGCAGCTGCAGCTACTTCCTATATGTACAGAGCAGCCGTGTGATCACACCATTTGCTTCTGAGTGCCGGCAAATGCATCAAGCCAGCCAGCATTAATGACAATGCCAGGTAGGAGCAGAAGCATTGAGCATTATTGCCAGTGGCAAAGGTCTTTGTTTCAGTGTTGGAATACAGTGTTCATGTATTTTGTACAACAACTGCATCAGTATTCAGTAGAGATATACTCTTCAACCAGTAGATGGCAGTATTTATAAATTTGTAGCTGCATCTATGGTAAACTCAATGTCTTTTCTCTGAATAAAAATTCCTTTTTCCTTGTTGCAGTCAAGCAGAAAAGCACAAATGGACTATGCACTGTCTGTGCTGTAAGGCTATATACAGAATTTCTAACATTTAGCAAAACAGAGCTGGACCAAGTGTCAAATAGATCAAGGCATATGAATCCATCTCGTAGAGAATTCACAAAAATGTCTGCTATCACACTACAACCTAACCACGCCTCAAAGTAGATCATTTCCTCTACATCACTTCCCCTTTAAGCACTTCCCACTAGAAAAACAACACTTTCATGGGCATTTATCAAGCAGTCTTGAAGCTTTTTCAACAATTTAAAAACACAACGAAAACATGTAAAAAACACATCATAAATGCTAGAGGCGCATTAAAGAGCTTTGCTTCATTCTTCATAATCAACATGTAACATTGAAGGAGCCCTTACTGGTTTTACAAGGAAACCAACAGAAACAAAATTGTATTTGTTTTTCCTTACATGAATTTATAGTGCTAGCTGAGAAATGTAAAAAAAAAATTGTCACAAGACCAGGGGCGGACTGACCATTTGGAAACTCGGGCACTGCCCAAGGGCCCGGGGTCAGTAGGGGGCCTCATGAGATGCCCCTGGTACCTTTTTCATAGGCTTTTTTGAGTTTGGGCAAGGACACAGGGGCCCCATGATCCCCTATTGCCCGGGGGCCCCATGAGTTGTCAGTCTGCCCCTGCACAAGACAGAATGTTACTGCAAGAGACAGACCTCTACTTTGTTAAATTTAGGGGTCGTAAAATATTAACTTGTGTAGCATCTCTATGGCACACGGTAGATCACACCATGATCCAGCATTTCTACATTATTTATAGGATCAAAGAGTCTTGTTGATTATATACTTATTGATTATATATCTCTGCAAAGGCAATCTTGAGATTTTGACAGCATTCATAGTATCTCTCTAAATTTTTTGATGGATAATATAATTTTTGAAATGTTGGAGCTAAAAAAAAAAAAAAGAGGGTATGTATAGGCAATACTTTTCTTTTAAAGGTAAGGAAGTGAAGCCTTGATGTAGAGAGCACCTGGTGAATTTCACATGGAATTTCTGGGCACAAATTAATAGTTAGAGCTTTAACGTCCAAGATAGGGCAATTGTCCCTTTTGGTTTGGGACCTGTCAAAGTTTGAAGTAGAACCACTGATACCTTTCCAATGCATTTTTTATGGCCTTCTGGCCTCTATACGCAAGGTGGTATGCTCCCAGGGCATCTCCATTGTGGGATATCTGGATGACCTTCTTTTGAAAGAAAAATTGGCACAAGTCCTGTCCAACAATGTAGCACAGATAGAGAGAGTTCAGACCTGGAAAAAGGTTCAGTTGGATCCTGAAACTTCAGAGTTCAGTTTTTGAGCCAACTCATTCCATTGAGTATCTGGATTTTATCTTAGACACAACTCAAGCTATTCCTTGACCCAGACTCTCCAGCCCAATAATCCTATAATCTCTAAATCTTCTGTCCCTTAAAAAAAAGGATTGTATGGTAAGTACAAAAATACAGTTTTTAAAAAATAAAATACTTGTTTTCACCTTTTTTCCTTCATTTGTTGCATCTCAGTGCTTCTTATCTCATGGAATCTTTGTGCAACCACCTTCTGTCCACATGCACTCTAGATATGGCTGCACCACATTTCCCATCCTGGGAGTCCATCATTCCAGGTGGTGACAACAGTGAACCTTGTCTGTGTAATGTTTGTTGAAATGGTAATTTATAGCCTTCTTAAGCCTCTGACAATGTAGTATTTGAGAGACACAGAGAAAATGTTTATGCTGCACATCCTCAGTTTGTTGTTTTTACAGTGTATGTATAGATTTTTTTTTTTTTGGATTGAATATGCAATGGTTAAGACCCAAGAGATAATGAAAGAAGTAAGAGGAGGTCCCACAACTGGATGTGCTGCAGTGTGCACATGGTAACAAGACTGGCTAATGAAGCCTTGAGTGGTGATATCACACATGGGTTTCAATGGCCCATCCATTTTGGTGCTCCCTCCTCTTCCATGCAGCCACGTTTATTGACATGGGGTGTCAGATAACATGACCAGACTGGAGTGGGTTGAAAGTAAGTAAATGTACTCATCTTTCTTACACAGGTTAGCCAGCAAAGGTGTTAGAATGAAACAGGGGACAGTTTTAAAAGTAGGGTTAGACTGGAATTCCACTTCAACTGCAGCAGAGAATATCGGGTCTCCTGCCCCACTAAACATAGCTGTGCCATGTGGCAGAGATGTGTACATCTCA